TGGGAATTTACAGAAACTGCCACAACTTTCCTGCAGTTCTGGTGACAATATGTCCAAAATCTTGTGCAAACCTTCGGTCCTAGAAATTCCACTGATAGGAAGCTTTCTTTAAAAATAGTATTTTCAATGTGGCAAAGGCATAGTTCTCAGAATATTCTCACTATGTTATTTAAAATAGTGGTAAATAACAATAATCTAAATGTCTAAAATTGGAACTAGGTAGACCGACTATGATATAGACCTATGATGTAATAGTATATAATGTTTTAAACAATGTAAAATATATTTACTGGCCGAAAAATACTCACATTCTGCCATGTGAAGAAAGGCAGAATACACATAGTATGGTTTCATGTTTGTTATAGGTATTTAAATGGTTCCTTTCTGCTGTGTTTTCCAATTTTAAACAATGAAATACATTACTTATATAAAAAAAGTTATTAAACTATGCAGATGAGAAAAACATCTGAAGGAAAATGTTAAATCTTAACAGAAGAGTGTTAGGGAAAATGGGGTGGTGGGTGTGTATTTTTTTCCTCTCTTTTTTTGTAAATTCTCTGCAATGTTCTTACATTACTTTTATTACTTAAAATATTTCTTTTAAATGAATAGGAACAACAGTGTGGTGGTTGTGAGGGTAGAGGAAGAGATGGAAGAGGGCATGGAGGGGATAAATGGTGATGGGGAAAAAAATCTATCTATACTAATAAAAGGGTAATATGCAAATTGGACAGGACGCCTTCACTGTAATGACCAAACAGCAGGCTGTGAGGGGCAACAAGGCCAGCAGGAGGGTGAGGGATGACCAAATGACTGAACAGCAGGCTGCATGGGGCAACCAGGCTGGCAGGGGAAGCAGTGAGGGGCAAGCAGGCCAGCAGAGGGGGGCAGTGAAAGGTGACCAGGCCAACAGGGGGGAGTTGGGGGTGACTAGGCTGATGGGGGTGAGGGACATGAGGGGCGACCAGGCCAGCGGGGGTGGGGGGAAAGTTGGCAGTAACCAGGTTGGCAGGAGGGGCAATTAGGGGTGGCCAGGCTGGCAGGGGGGGCCATGAGGACTGACCAGGCCAACAAGGCGGGGGGTGGTTTGGGGCAATCAGGCTGGCAGGCAGAGGTGTTTAGGGGTGATCTAGCTGACAGGAAGGGCAGTTAGAGGTGATTAGGCAGGCAGGCAGGTGAGCAGTTAGGAGCCAGCAGTCCCAGATTGTGAGAGGGATGTCCGACTGCTGGGGCAGTTGGCAGCAACCAGGCCGGTGGGGAGGGCGGGGTCAGTGAGGGGCGATCAGGCCGGTAGCGGGTGGCAGTGGGACAACTGGCAGTCAGACATCTCCCGAGTAGTCCCTGATTGAAGAGGGTGCAGGCTGGGCTAAGGGGACCGCCTCCCCCCTCCCCTCCAACTCCCTGTGCACAAATTTCATGCACGGGGCCTCTAGTAAAATAACAATAAAAATAAAAATGAATGGGGAAACCGACACTGATCCCTAAGCCCACCATCGGGAAGAGCATGGGATTGGTGTGCCCCTCCTGCTTCCCTTCCTCCCCATTCTCCTTTCTGAGAGTGGAGACACATTTCTCCACATCTCTCCAGGGAAGCCTCCTGGTGACCTTGTGTACCAGTCACGAGCTCAGTGAGTACAGAGCAGAGCTGGTGCCAAACCGCCATCGGCGTCGCTGTGGCCGCCCCACTCATCACTCACTGCGCTATAAAAAGACTCGGTGGGAGGCGAGGTCCTGGCTGGCGCTCCCACCACAGGCTCCGCCAGGGGGTGCCACCATGGGGCCTGTCGGTTTCCTCACGCAGACTTTCCGGTTCTAGGAACGGGTAGGACATTCACCCAGCAAGCACCAAGAGAGACTCAGACAGCCACACGCTTGCATCTATAAAGAGCGATGGAAACGGACGGAGGGGCGAGCAGAAGTGTGCCATCTGTGTGCCATCAGGACTGCGTTTGGAGGGAGGATCTGCTGCCACCAAACACCCGCCTCCACTTACCCGGTAGTCTCTGTTCACGTCGCTGAGCTGCCAGTGCTCACCCGGGAGGCCCATGCGCCTGTACTCCTCGCTGAGGTCCAGCAGCAGCCAGCCTTGCTCCCTTTCTTCCTTATCCAGCTTGGGGTTGAACGAAAAGCAGTATAACTCCTCGTATTTCACTGCAAGGGAGAATAATGCCCGATCAAGCTCAGTCCCTGCCAGAACCGAAGCTCTTCAAAGCATCTCTGTCCGGCGGGAGCACACGGGCAGGCCAGCCCAGTCCTCGCCCCTGGGAACCCAGCGGTGCCCTGTCCCATGGGCAGGGCCGCCCACCTCCTCCCAGCAAGGACAGGGAGACCGGGATAGCCCGACTCAACCCTGCAAGAGCTGCTTTTGTTTTAGAAACAAGGTCTTCTCCATTTTGTGCTTTCTTTAAAAAAAACAAACAAACAAACAAACAAAAAAAACTTTTATTGCTTTCAGAGAGGAAGGGGAAGGGAGAGAGAGAAACATCAACGATCAGAGAGCATCATTGATTGGCTGCCTCTTGCACTGGGGATCGAGCCCACAATCCAGGCATATGCCCTGACTGGGAATCGAAACCATGACCTCCTATTTCATAGTTTGATGCTCAATCACTGAGCCACACTGGCGGCTACCATACTGGACAGCACAGATCTAAGCACTTTTTTTTTGGGGGGGGGGGAGGCGCTTTAGAAAGCAATTATATTTTCTGGACCACATAAAATATAAAGCATAAATATTAGTTAAGAACAGTTGCATTCATTAGAGGTCAAGGTTATGTCTACTGAGCTTGGACTTGGGAGGGCCTCTGGGAGATGGGCCGGTGCCCAGGCTGCTGCCACATTTTGATGCTCTCTGGTATTAAAAAAGAAAGCAGTTGGGAAAGCTGCAGGATATATTTATATGTTTGCACTGAAAACATCTGGGCTTTTTACGACCACATAAATGTCATGATTGTACTGCTTGGACAATATTTATAGGATCCCTAAAAAAATACCAACTCAGAGGGCACGGCACCCTGGTCAAGAGGGGGCAAGCTGAGGAACATGTAATGAAGCTCTTCTTTCGGTTCTGCCAGGATATCTTTGCCTTGTATGCCTCTGAGGCCAGACTCATTCCCTCTCCCCCAGTAAGAGCTAGGATTTGGTTCGTGGGCTCTGCTTTTCTCTGCGGGCGCATCGAGGTCCGTGCTGTCCAACAGAAACCTAAACAAGTCGTGTGCGTTCTGGTCAGTGTCCTTGTAGCTGTGTGAAAAAGCTGAAAGGAAACAATGACATTCATTTTACTAACGTAATTTATTTAACCCAATATATCTAAAATATTGCCATTTCAACATGGACATATTGTAAAATGTATTCATTGATATATTTTGGGTTGTACTGTCTTTTTTTTCATATTATCTCTTTATTATATAGGATACTCTTGTGTCCTCTGAAATAAACTAATGTGCATATATTACTCCTGGGAATAAATGGAAACAGATCACATGAGATCCATCCTGCAGGGCACTGAATGCCAAGGAAACTCACTTTAGCTATGGAAGCTCCTATTGCCTATTGTGTGGGCTTCCTGCACACTCCTACAGTGGGCAGAGACATCTGTCACAGGAGAACCAGTTAGGGTAAGATGGGGAGAGGAAGAGATAAGACATTGGACTCAAGGCAAATGTGAAGCATCTGGTGAGGCCCTTGTCTCACATCTCCAGAATCTCACTTGCCAGTGCCCCTTGGGCAGGAAGTCACACTGGCAGCCCAGCATCTTGATAAGCCTCTCTTGGACATCAGGTTCCAGTCCTGCTTCTGCAGACACCTCCTATCCGGGGTAGCAGAGCATTCTCTGGCGTTCAGCACTCCCTAGAAAGCTCGTCTTTTTTTACTCACCACCTTCAACCAGAAGATAATGCTCAGGTAAGAGTCAGCTCAGAACTATCTTCTCTAAAAGGCAATTTTGTTTTCTCTCTCTTAGTCCACATGGTCATGAATGCATCTTGGGGTGTAGTGTGCAAGGAGCCATGAGCACCCATGAAGGAGAGTCCAGAGACAAGAAGCCCCCTCAGGGAAGCTCTGGGTGCTGGCAGCTTAGGCTGTGAGATCCCAGGTCCTATGAGCTTCGGATACATGGTTTTCAAACCTGAATTGATGTTAGTAACCTCAGATTTCACACATTACCTTGCTATTCTATGAGTTTGTTTGCTATATGTAGGTACCTTTCCTGTACCAGGCAAAAACACAAGGCTACGAACAAATAAGACAGTTGAAGAGAATTGAATAAAAAGAATGTGTAGAAAGGATGAGCAAGATGAGACACCTAAAGATTCTTCATAATAGGGAGCTATTGCCCTTGGGCATCGTGAAGTGTAAAAGGTTAGTTAAGTTTTCAGAACACAGGGAGGGCTGTGGCTGTAGCAGTGGTCTTCACTATGACCCCAAAAAAAGGCCCACAGCCAGGGACTATCCCCTTAGGTAGAGTAACACCACCATGGCAAGCTCACAGCCTGACAGCGGAGAGGCAGGGAGTTAACCCTCCTCCTGCCCTCCAATCAGCTGTCAGGGTCACTTTTCCTGAAAGAAATCAGGAGGCAGAGGGAAAGGGTGCGCAGTGGTGAGGCGAAGACATGTGTCCTCCCAGGATGCAGCAGAGGATAGAGAGGCTGAAAAATGGAATTCGACATCCAATTGTACAGAATCCATTTTTCTTCATTGGTCCTTTATCCCAAGGACTTTTTCTCTCTCGCTGTGATTAGATCAACTTGTTCTTACATCTTATTTATCTGAAATGTTGGCACGCCCCCCACCCCCCTCCTGGGTATCACATCTTAGAAATACTCTCTCATCATAACTGCCTTGAGGATGAAATGTACGTTATTTTTCAGGGTGGTGGTAGACAAATATTTTTAAGAATTTTAATTTGTGGTCTCTGGAATCTCCATTCGCCACAGATGGGGTGGCCATGAGGGTCAGTGGTCATAGAGCAGGTGCTGAAGTCTTATTTTGTTTCCAGGCCCACAACGGCAGCGTTTCTGAGCATGGATATGACTGACCCAGCCTGGGAGACCGAGCTCACAACAACCTATGGAAGTGATCAGGTCTTTTATCAACATAATACAGGGGAAATGATCCTGAAAGTACTGATAGCCACCGTGGTCCTGGTGGGGCTGGCGGGGAACGCCGTGGTGATCTGGCTCCTGGGCTTCCGCATGCACAGGAATGCCTTCTCCGTCTACATCCTCAACCTGGCGGGGGCTGACTTCCTCTTCCTCTGCTTCCATATTATATCTTTTTTAGATTCAATTTTCAACTTAGATTTTGTCATTGGAGCAATGAGCAGATTTCTCCCACTTGTGGAAGAGTTTGCCTACATCTCAGGCCTGAGTTTTCTCAGCGCCATCAGCATGGAGCGCTGCATGTCTGTCCTGTGGCCCATCTGGTACCGCTGCCAACGCCCCACTCACACGTCCGCTCTCACGTGTGCCCTGCTCTGGGCCCTGTCCCTGCTGCTGAGCCTGCTGAAAGGGTACTACTGTATCCTGTTTTGGAGTGTGCAACAATTTTGGTGTCCAGTGTTGGATTTCCTCACTGTGGCATGGCTGATTTTGTTATTTGTGCTTCTCTCTGGGTCCAGCCTGGCTCTGATGACCAGATTGTGGTGTGGCTCCCAACGGGTGCCGCCCACCAGGCTCTACATGACTGTTGTGATCACGGTACTGGTCTTCCTCTTCTGTGGCCTGCCCTTTGGCATCCTGTGGTTCCTCATATCCTGGGTTCTATCTATTTCCTCCTTATATCTTCCCATGACTGTAGCACTCCTGTCCTGCATCAACAGCTGTGCCAACCCCATCATTTACTTCTTCGTTGGCTCCTTCAGGCAGCGATGGCGGAAGCAGAGACACACTCTGAGGCTGGTTCTCCAGAGGGCTCTGCAGGACACTCCTGAAGTGGATGAACCTGGAGAAAGCCTTCCTGGAGAAGCCCTGGAAATGTCGGGGAGCAGTCTGGGGCAGTGATAAAGAGCCTCTGTCCTGATCTGTTTGAAGTAACTTTCAGACTCACTGCTGCCCTGCCAGGCTTGGAAAGTTCCTAGTCTTCTCTCAGCCTCAGCCTCAGACTGCTTCAGTGATTCCCCAGTCTCCTCAAATAGGTTGTTTTTTTTTATCTGGTCATTCAAGTTTTTCTCAGAGAAAGCATTAGTCCAAACATTATACCTCTCCATTGTCTTTGACATTATCAATAAATTTCTCATGTGATCTGAATTTCTTTATTGAATGCTTTTTCTTTACAATCTTCATTGCAGCAAAAAGAATCCCTGTCTAAATCAGACAAGTCCAGGCCGTAACTCCTGGTTCTACAGCTCTCCTCTCCAAGCCTCAGTTAATTCACTGTAAAATGCTGTGAAATTATCTACTCATAAGATCATAGTGGGGAATAAATTAGAAAACAAATGAAAAGGACTCTTCCAGGTGCCAAATATGACAAATATTTCATAAACATCAACAGTTAATACATGTGAAGCCTCTAATATATTATTGACTTATGAGGTAATATTTAATAAGTTAAAACAAAAGAATTCTTGTCCTAAACCATAGATAGTCATTTAAAAACTAGAGGCCCAGTGCACAAAATTTGTGCATGGTGTGTGTGTGTGTGTGTGTGTGTGTGTGTGTGTGGTGTGTCCGTCAGCCCAGTTTGCACCCTCTCTAATCTGGGACCCTTAGAGAAATGTCCTACTACCCATCAAGGCCCGATTGGGCCTAAATAGGCAGTGGGACATCCCTCTCACAATCCAGGACTGCTGGCTCCCAACTGCTCACCTGCCTACCTGCCTTATTGCCCCTAACTACTTCTTCCTGCCAACCTGATCACTCCTTAGCCACTCCTTTACCAGCCTGATAAATACCTAACTGCTCCCCTGCTGGCCTGATTGTCCTGTCCTCCCCTGCAGGACTAGTTTTCCACAACTGCCCTTCTCTGCTGGCCTAGACACCCTTAATTTCCCTCCCTTGCCAGCCTGGTGCCCCTAACTGCCCTCCCCTGCCAACCTGTTCAACCACAACAGCCCTTCCCTGCAGGCCTAGTCACTCTCAACTACCCTCCCCTGAAGGCCTGGTCACCCCTAACGGCCCTCCCCTGCTGAACTGATTGCCACCAACTGCCTTCCCATGTAGGCATGGTTCCCCACAACTTCTCTCCCCTGCAGGCCTGGTCATCCCCAACTGCACTCCTCTGGAGGTGTGATCACGCGCAACAGCCCTCCCATAAAGGCCGGGTTCCTCCCACTGCCTTCTCCTGCTGGCCTGGTCTCTCCCAACTGCCCACCCCTAAAGGTTGGTTGCCCCTAACTGCTTTCACCTGCTGGTCTGCTTCCCCCCCAACTACCCAACCCGAAAGCCTGGTTCCCACTAACTGCTCGCTCCTGCAGGCCAGGGTCCCCCGCAACTGCCCACCCTGCAGGCCTGATCACCCACAAGTGCCCTCCCTGCTAGCTATCTTGTGCCAGGCATCTTGCATCTACATTGGGATGGCCATCTTTGACCACATGGGGGTAGCCATCTTACGTATTGGAGTGATGGTCAATTTGCATACAACCTAGTTATTATATAAGATTGTTTTTACCTGATTGGGTAGGAAAGGAAGATTGCCTACATTTCTCTCAGACTATAGGCCCTGTAGATTCATGCCGCAGCTTCTTCCTGTGTTAGAGGATGACATTATTAAAGATGGAGTCTAAGGGACATGTGCTCAGTGCCAAAGATATGATAGTGAACTACAACAACAAAGAAAAAAGACAAAGCCCAGACAGATCTAGTCAGCATTACTGAGTTTTGAGTTTAAAAAGGGAGACAAGCCCTAGCAGGTTTGAGTGGCAGCCCACAGACTGAAGGGTAGGGGTTTGATTCTCCTGGGTGAGTCTGCCCAGGCTGAACATGGCAAGAATTGACTGATTGGGTCTGTCCAGAGGCAAGAAGAAGTGCCTAGAATCTCTGGTCAGTTCTTAGCTGGTTTCTACTTCTTCTTCCACACTGGATAAGCTTCACTTTTTTGTTATTTTGTACTGTCTTTGAAATTCACACTTACCAATACATTTTTAAAAAATGTTTTATTGATTTTTTTTTTTTTTTTTTTTTTTTTTCCGGAGAGGAAGGGAGAGGAGAAAGATAGAGAGCTAGAAACATCGATGAGAGAGAGACATCGACTAGCTGCCTCCTGCACACCCCCCACAGGGGATGTGCTGGCAACCAATGTACATGCCCTTGACTGGAATCGAACCTGGGACCTTTCGGTCCACAGACCGACGCTCTATCCACCGAGGCAAACCAATTTCTGCTCTAATACATTTTTAAAAACTGATTTCAGAAAGGAAAAGAGAGAGAGAGAAAAAAAAAAATCAATGATTGGAGAGAATCATTGATCAGCTGTCTCCTGCATGCCCCCTACTGGGGATTGAGCCCACAACCTGGGCATGTGCCCTTGACCAGAAGCGAATCCAAGACACTTCAAGTCCGCAGGCCGACACTCCATCCACTGAGCCAAAGCGACTAGGGCCTTACCAGCACATCTTAGCTCATTCCAGGCACATGTCAAACTTTAGCAGCTACCCATACACATGGCCAGCGGCTACCACACTGGACAGTACAGATCTAAGCACTTCCGGTGATAGTGACTCGTGGCTGCTAACTCACCAAACCCTGTTTCGTCCCAGATTTGTTCTAGTTACATGTATGAACCACCTAGCAGGCGCCATGACGGGCCTCATCTTACAGAGGAGAAATCTGAGCAAAGAGACGCTGAAGAATGTTCCCAAGGTCACACAGCTAGCAACTGGGGAGTCTGCACTTGAATTACTAGGCAAACTGGCTGTTTAGTACATATTCCTACCCCTCCACACTGCTCCTCCAAGGCAGATCCTTCCCTCTTCGGCCCGAGCGGCCACCTTTGTATCTTGTCTCTCCTTGTTCCATAGCCTTAATCATCCCCTTTTTCTCCAGTAAGTGTCTTGCTCCTCAGCGTAGGTCCCACCTTTATTCCTTAGTCTGTTGAAGTACTCGGGGTGTGGACAAGGCAGTACACCTGAATGTGTGCATCGGGAGACCCTTCACGCGGTCTCAGTGATGAAGACTCAGCTTCCAGCGCCATGGAGACCGAGGTAGCTCATGTCCGAGGAAGAAGAAAGACAAGAGTCCCAGTGAACTCCCACACGTTCCCATCAGGCGCGCACCCTGTTTTGTGAAGAGCCAAGTTCAAAGACTGTGGGGTACCAGTGAGATAAGCTACATTCTGTCTCAGTTTCTCTGCCATATTTCTACACGTCAGAATTTAGGATACCGGTGATTTCAGCAAACAAGAAAATGCACACGCACAGACACCTGCACACACGAACACGAAGAAGCTGCCGTCAGTACACAGTGCTGCTTACCATCTTAGCTGATTGAGCCGACGGTGTAGAAAAGTGAGATTCTGCCCTGACCGGTTTGGCTCAGTGGATAGAGCGTCGGCCTGGGGACTGTAGGGTCGCAGGTTCGATTCCAGTCAAGGGCATGTACATTGGTTGCCGGCACATTCCCAGTGGGGGGTGTGCAGGAAGCAGCTGATCAATGTTTCTCTCTCATCGATGTTTCTAACTCTCTATCTCCCTCTCCCTTCCTCTCTGTAAAAAATCAATTAAAAGTATTTTTAAAAAAGAAAAGTGAGATTCTGTTCTGGGAACAGCCAGCTTGACCCTGACACATCGTTCCCATTGCTAAGTACCATGTTCATGAGTCAGGCTCTGAGAGCATCCCGCTGACCGCAAAGTGCAATCGGCGGAAGATGCCAACGAAGTCCCTTGAGAAGGCCAGTTTCCTGCGTGAAAGAAGAGCTAAGGAGTGAGGAGTAATTGTGGACATTAAGTTCCCTCGTTCCCCATTTACAAATAGGCCTATAGGTAGAAGAATTATCATCTACAATTACCGAGTGCTCTGTGCATGGTCTCACGCTTGTCATCACTGGCAAGAGGCAAGGACATTGCACAAATGAAAGCAAGGGTCATTAGTGACAGGCGTCAAGAAGATCGCTCTCCAGTTGGAAGACAGGAGAATGGATTTCTACTGGAGTTACTAGATTTTTTGCTTCCAGTTATTTTTCAAGAACAAGGGTGACCCACCACCCGTCCATCCAGTTTAAGTCAAAGCCTAGATCAGGGCAGGGAACCCAACATTTCTGTCAGTCAGAGCACAGTCTTGCGAATGTGGGCAAATGTCTCACCCGGAGGCCAGGCCAGGAGAAGTCTACCGGGGAAATGAAAAAGTGCCATGAACGCAGTGCCAAATGCCACGGAAGAGTTCCCATCCACAGTATCCTCTTCCCTGCCCCTCCAGCTCTTGCAAAATACCTCGCAGACTGTTTAGTAAGTGGCAGGGAAGTGAGTTAAACACAAGAGGAGGGCTAGAGAAACCTCTAGTCTGGCCAAGACCGGTTTGGCTCAATGGATAGAGCGTTGGCTTGGGGACTGAAGGGTCCCGGGTTCGATTCCGGTCAAGGGCATGTACCTTGGTTGCAAGCGTATCCCCAGTAAGGGGTGTGCAAGAGGCAGCTGATCGATGACTCTCTCTCATGGATGTTTCTAACTCTCTATCTCTCTCCCTTCCTCTCTGCACAAAATCAATAAAATATATTAAAAAAAAAAAAAAGAGAGAGAGAGAGAAATCTCTAGTCTGGACAGAGGCTGAACTGAGAAAACACTGATCTGCCCCTGGAGCAGGTCACATCCCTGACAGGTAGCCCCTCTTAGAACAGACGTGTTCCATACTCCGCTGGTTTTTCCCATCCCGGAGTCTGGGCCGCCCCGGCCCGCGTGGGACGTCGTTAGCTGTGGGGGCGGCAGGTTTCACAGGACGTGCCCCCAGGGGCCCATCACTAGGGGACATCACTAGGGGTCACAGGAGCTCCTCCCACAAGCCTGGGACCGGGGAGGTAAAGGGATGTGCGCCTCTCATTAAAACTTTTCTTCCGAAAAAGGTAAGTGTAAATTAATCTAGTATTTATGAACCTACTTAAATCATGCAATTGCTCAGCAAAGACAGGCTTGAAGGAGTTTCTATCTCTTCAGAGAGAAAAAAGATAGCTTCTGAAAACATGCCACCTTAAATTTGGAGTGAGCAGCACTTGGTCCATGTTTGCAGAAAAGCTAAATCAGTGTCTTGGGACTAAGCAGACAGCACACGTCCAGAGATGCGTGTTTCATGGATGTGGCTCCATGGTAGCCCTGTCGCTCATCACTAACACAGCCCGTGTCAACGCGGTGGCTTTGGCCACCCCAGCGCTCTCAGACCACCCCACTCACGGCTTCCCGGGGAAGATGCAGGCCATCAGC